TTGCGTTTAACAAAACTTGTATAAAAGATGGATTGCTGCATAAATACATCATTATATATATATATATATATATATATATATATATATATATATATATATATATTGTGGTGAATATCGCACGGACGCTTGAAGTAACAACCATGCAATGTTGTTTCCTATGTCAACACTGTCTTTATCTGAAAATGGTTTATCTTTGATATTGACGCTCTTCCCATAAGCATATGGCAAATTTTGAAAATGTGTATGCGTGTAAGAGTGTGCACAATGTATCCGATTATATATATATATATATATATATATATATATATATATATATATATATAGTTACGCGTTTAAAATTTCATTCTTATATTATCGTTTATTTCGAACATTCAACTAATTTTCACATATTCTTTCTTAATAAATTTACTCGGATATTTTTTATTTGTTATATATATATATATATATATATATATATATATATATATATATATATATATATATATATATATATATATATATATGTCCCGTCGAATTCGACGTATGAAGATCAAGCAGATCAGTTCCTAGGAAACTGATAGCCCGACAACAGCACATGTGATTTGATTATAGTGGTGAAGGTTTCGTGCAGGACCATCCACACTTTTTGAAGGTCCGAATTCAGAGACCTAGTGCACTACGTGCCACAAGGTCACCAAACGACCCTCTGCAGGTTTTGAATTCAGAGTTGTCCTTCTCCTAGACCAGTTGCCATCCAAGGCTATAGAACCAAGTCTGTCTTGCTATTTACCCCTAGCTGGTGGGAGAAGAAGAGGATTCACACCTTTCCCAAGGGTATTAGCACGTAAGTGAATGTAATGGATTCGACTTCGCTCACCAATACCTCAATCCAAGCCGCTATCCATTACTCCACCGTGCCCTCTCTCTCTCTCTCTCTCTCTCTCTATATATATATATATATATATATATATATATATATATATATATATATATATATATATATATTTTATATTGAAAAATGCTCTTTCCTTGATATTGTGCACTTTAACACATAAGTATATCATAGCTTACAACTATAAGTTTATCACACTCATACAAATAATAATAATAATAATAATAATAATAATAATAATAATAATGGCTGGTCACTCGTATTTGAGGATACCCGTCTACTAGGGCGCCTAGCCAATCCATATTGTAGACGCTCGGACAGGCGCAATTTCTGTTTTGTCCAGCAACCACAGAGCGCACCTTAGGCTTTAGTTACAGTTTCTGGGAGAGAACGTGTTATATAGCGTGATCAACAATCTGAATGAGGCCAACACACTCAAACCCTCAGCATAATATATTTCTATAAGAAATATATTATGCTCATAATCTTATAGAAATATATGCTTATAATCTTATAGAAATATATTATGCTCATAATCTTATAGAAATATATTATGCTTATAATCTTATAGAAATATATTAATACTAACATCGTGCCTATTGAAAAAGAAAACATTGTGTACAGATCAGTGTAGCTTATGTGAGTTTTGTATAAGATTAAAATGTCTCTCTCTGCACCTCGTGCAGTAAGTGTGAAGTTTTACATATGTGTATATTTAATAAATTATTTTGGCACAATAGGCTCACGTTAATAATGATCAAAGGTACGGTGGAGTAATGGATTGTGTCTCGGGTTGAGGAATCGGAGAGCCGAGTTCGAATTCCAGCCGATTTCATTATATTCACTTGCGTGCTAATACCCATAGGAAAGGTATCAATCCACCTCTTCTCCTCTAGCTAGGGATGAATAGTAGGTTCTATAGCCTTGGTTGGCAGCCAGTCTAGGAGAATGAAAATTCTGTATTCAAACCAACCTGGAGAGGGTTGGACTCCGCCAGGTTATCTTGCCCAAGACACGCTAATCCTACTGCGGTTGCAGTACACGTTGTGCCTCCATGAGTCAAATGATTTAGGGGACTTGTGATCGAATACTGATCAGGAGTCTTTTGCTATACTTATTTTGGTTTAGTTTAACAGCAAGGATTGACATCACCACTGTAATAAGAATATGCAAATCTCCTTTGTTAACTTTTTTATTATATGATGAGGCATGTTTCCTTTCTTTTTATGTTTCTAAGGCTCCACAGAATACGACAAAAATCTTGTCACATCAAATAAAGAAATAATCACTAAGTAGCTTTATAGTAAATTTACTTTAGTTTAGGATGTGCGGGTAAACTGGGGTCGCTAGCCTTGTGTGCCAGCCGGTCTCGAAGAAGGATTATTCAGTTTTGAGAACTATGGAGAAGGCAACGGGAAACCACTCAACTGTTTACCAAGCAGTCATAGCGATTCATAGATAATAAAGAAATTGAATTTGTGGAAAGTTGCCAAGTCCTGAAAAATGTCATTTAAGAAAGTTTAGTCTGACTTAACGTGAAGTACCCAATGAGGATCGAAATCATTAACGAAGTACATGAAGATAATGTCAAGCCTCACAGGTTTCCTTGCAGTTTTGACTTGCTAAATTATGTGCAATGTGTGATACACGCTTAGGCGATCATGTATCTTCCGATACATGACTGACGAGGCAGATTTTTTCCGCATTTCTTTCTGCGGTATTTACCCTTAGCTGGGGGAGGGCGAAGAAGTGGATTCATAACTTTACCATGGGTAGTAGCACGTAAGTGAATTTCAGTCAGTTATGTGCCATGCGTGATACATCGTGTATCTTTCGATACTTGACTGACAAGGCAGATTTTTTTCCTGCAGTAGGTTGCTATTTCTTTCTCCGGTAAACTAGTTGCCATCCAAGGCTATAGAACACGGTTTGTCTTGCTATTTACCCATAGCTGGGTGGGTAGAAGAAGAGGATTCATATCTTTCCCAAGGGTATTAGCACGTAAGTGAATGTAATGGATTCGACTGGAATTCGATCTCGGCTCTCCGATTCCTCAATCCGAGCCGCTATCCATTACTCCACCTTAACTAAACCAAATTGTGTATAGAAAAGGATTCTTGATAACCGTTATTACAGTGAGACTATTTTTAGCTTAAATGCTTTAGGGACTTTTTGTCAGACTACATTCAATACATATGCACATATAGAAAACTTTATTTCTCTGTCCACACTCAGTTACAACTAGAAAGCTTAATCTGGCTCAAGGCCATAAAGAAGGAGCACGTAGAAAGATACGAATTCATTATAGCAGTAATGATCTACGAGATGAAATTACAAACTTCTCTACACTGAGAGCTACTAAGGAACGTTTTAGTCCAGAGATAAGTCTGACACGAGACCAATATATGATAATCGGGAGTAAGGATCGAACTCCTAACAGAAGTATCGACAGCCTGCGAGAGAGGCTTGATAATAATTGATACCATGGCAAAGATATCCAAAATATCTGTAACTGAATCCGAAGACTCAATAAAACGAAGAATGTACATTCAATGCAGAGGTTTTACTTATATGCAGACGTTAAATATCCCTTCGTAGTCGGCCGAACAATAGATTCTGTCTTTTGCTGTCGATACTGACGTTGTTTTGCAGAAGGGGGGAGCGGGGGGTCGCACGGCTTGTCACACGGCACCAGGAAATGAACGCTTTATGCAAATGTCACATTGGCTATTGCATTCCATTCGCAAACTTAACTTTGAAATGCAGAAAATAAACAAAGGGAAAGTATGTATTTAAATCAAAGTTATGACGATAAACTATTCAATTCATTCTGTTCTTATTCATATCTCTCTAGTGGTAATTCATATTTCGTCATTATCTATCTATCTATCTATCTATTTTAGTGCGTTTATATATATATATATATATATATATATATATATATATATATATATATATATATATAGTTCTCTTCATATCTGTGTTAGTCTGCTCATATCTATCTATCTATTTCTCTTAATATCTATGTATCTACCTGTCAGTGTATCTATGTATCAATCTTGCTCTGTTCAGGAACATCTTAGTTTTCTTAATATCTATCTATATATATCTATATGTATATATGTGTGTGTGTGTATACATATATATCATGTTCTCTCATCATATCTTAGTGTGTGTATATATCTATCTATTCTTCTCTCTCTCTCTCACACACACATATATATATATATATATATATATATATATATATATATATATATATATATATATATATAGTTCTGTCTATATGCATCTATCTTACTATGTTCATATATGTCTATCTTTCTCGGTTTATTCATTATCTATCTATCACTTGTTATTCAGCATTTTGATATCTATTTTAGGATAAATCCAAATTTATTCACATTTATAACCTATCTATCTCTGTCTTTGAATGTGTTTTATTATATATACCTTCCTAGTATTTCTTTTTGCAGTAGTCCCTTTTTTATCTGTTCCCCTCATCCTCTCTTCTGACCCCCTGACCTATATATATATATATATATATATATATATATATATATATATATATATATATATATATATATATTCCCCCACTATATATAAGACTGTCTTCATTGAAAAAAACATAAACATTATCTGAAGAATTCTCTTTGAGGGACGAAATGTTTATTATTCCTTTACCCATTATTATTCTGATATATAGATATGTATTTAATTTCTCTTATCTATCTATCTATCTATCTAACGCTATCAATACTAAGTTGGCTGAAATATATAATAAAATAAAATAAAAATGTGCAAGACAGAATTGTATATATATATATGTATACAATATGTGTGTGTGTGTGCGTGTGTGTGTGTGCGTGTGTGTGTGTTTGTATGTATGTATATATTTATGTATATGTTTTTAAGAGAGAATATTTCTTGTTTATCCGTTTATTTTCCTAATATTTTTATAACATATAGACCCCCACCCACACGGACTCATCTCACACGCTTATATATGCATATTAATTGCTCATGTCTTTGTTGTCTCAGTTTCTTTTTTCCGTGTCAGTTAAGAACCGTGACGATTTGTGTTATAATTCTTAATTATGTTAAGGAAGAGACAGAGAGAGAGATATACAGTGAAAGAAAGAAAGAAAGAAAGAAAGAAAGAAAGAAAGAAAGAAAGAAAGAAAGAAAGAAATATCGAACAGTGATGAAATGAAAAATAGAATGAGTGAAGGGAAGAAAAAAAAAACGGAAAAATAACCAGACTGAAGAATTCCAATCGATACACATAGGAACGCACAGTCAGTTCTACTTCTTATACGGCGTTAAAAATCAAACTCAAAAATAAGATTATAAAAAAAAAACGAAATAAAAGTAACCCCTCCCCCACGCAAACGACAAACCCATTCGTCACCATAAAAACTTACATTGTTATATACGTTATGTAAGTCTTAGAGCGAAAGATGAATTGTCATATCATCACTGCAACACACAAATATGCTGTTCGCTGTTTTAGTAGCATCGATATCCACCCTCACAATGGACTGAATGGCTCAGATCTGTGGTTAGAGAACTGTACCAAATGCCGAAAGGTCAGTGATTACTAAAAAAAAGCAAAATGATGACCGTTCCTTCCAAATAATTATAGGTCATTTACGCTGCCTGTATTGTAATGGGACTGAATGCATTTTTTGGTACAGCATTTTCAACACAAAATAGACGACAGAAATTGATCCTATACGATGAAAATACGTTACTATAATCTAGGGGGAGTGTTAAATTTGGTTAGAAGATGTACTACCGCAAGACAAGATGGCCTTTTATTTTGATTTTGCAAATCTTCTGTTTAGACAGATTTTTTTATTTGTATTCACCGACATTTCTCTCTTTCTTGTTGTTCTCTAACTACAGATCCGAACTATTCAGTATTTTACGAGCTATTAATTTCGATTGATAAAGGAGAACTCCCACAAATGTAGCCTTGTGCCAAACAAGATCAATCTTATTTTTCAACTATATGTATAAAAATATTTAACCTTCATTTTTAAAAAAATCGTTTATTCTTTAGTCTGGCAAAAGGCCAACAAGTAGTGGTAAAAAATGTGTAAAAGAAAATTGTAATCTAGTAGTCCTTAGCTGTTTTGAAAAATCAGCTATCAACAAACTGCTTTCACTTGGGTTCGAACGCAAATCACTGATACCAACTGGAAATATGCAACTACTTAAGTCACGAGATATATATATATAAAATAATAAACTTAACATAGTTTAGGGTACAGACAATTTGGGAGGTGGTGATTGAGGAAGATTATATTGCACCAAATTCTTCATTTCACAGCTCCTTCGTAGATTGAAAATTGACATCTGAAATCCTGGATTTTACCTGGGTTCGACCAAAGGCACATGCAGGAATTGAATAATTTCATGAGTCACGAGTTAGTACCAAATATATTAGAGTGTTACAATGTTTAATTTACACTTGCACAAGATGAGAGAAGGAAATAGGATCTTAGGAAGATTGTATTACGCCAAATATCCTAGAAAGGAGGATAAGTTTGGGCTTTCTTTTTTTCTCTTGAAAATTAATTGTGAAAATCTTAGTATTTACCTATGTCCGACCACAAGCACAGATCGATGATGGGTAAGGCATAAAGATCATAGTTGCAAACGAAAAGAGAGATCAGTTTCGAAAATATCAACATGAATAAAAGAATCGTATAGTTATTTTAATTGAAAAGAAAAAGTCATTTCTTTTCTTTTTTTTAACCGATGATTTTACGAAAAAAAAATTGGCGGAAAAGTGAAGAAATTACCTATATGCGTACCACCCATTAATGGGCGGTCAGTTATAGTATTTCATTTTTCTTTTCATTCTCTCAGTCTTTCTTTCTTTCTTTCTTTCTTTCTTTCTTTCTTTTTTTTTTTTTTCTTTTTTCTTTCTTTCATTTTTATTTGCTTCGTGTCTCTCTCTCCATTTCTTTTTCTTCCCTGTTTCGTTCTTTCTTGCTTTCTTTCTATCTTTCCTTCTTTTTCCTCCCTCCCTCTATATCTTTCTTTCTATCTTTCCTTCTTTTTCCTCCCTCTCTTTCTTTCTTTCTATCTTTCTTTTTCATCTATCCTGCCTATCTCTATTTCATTCTTTCTTTTTCTTTCTTGTCTTTCTCTCTGTATCTCTCTCCCCCCTCTCTCTCTCTCTCTCTCTGTATCTCTCTTTCTCTCTCACTCTTCCTTCCTTTTTCTTGTCGTATCTCTCTTTCTTTCATACTTTCTTTGTCCTTTTTTTCGTTTTG